AGAGAGAGAGGAGGCAGCTTTTCCAAGTCTTTCTGAGGAGAATACAGTGTGTGTGTGTGTGTGTGTGTGTGTGTGTGTGTGTGTGTAGAATCAGGGGTGGTGAACACTGAGGAAACAACTTCACCTTTAACTAGAAGTGGGCAAGACGATTTTCTTTTGTTGTGGTCTTTATCAGTGGTTCTTCAAACACCTGAGATGTTTAGAAACTTCCTGAGCCGTGAGGTTGAGGCCCGGATGTAGGAGCCATGCCCTGGCAGGGAAAAGTGTGTCCATCTTTCTCAGCCCCAGCTTGGCTGTTGGTACAGCACTGTTCTGACTGGATCGTTAATGTCCAGCCAGCATGGGAAGAAGTAGTGAGTGAAGGATGGTGTTCTGCCCACATGTGGGGGCTTCTTCCCTATACTCATATCCCCACCTTCTACCCTCTCCTTCGCCCAGCTTCTCAATCCCTTGGGCTTGGAGGGCTAGGACCCTCTGTGCAAGGGAGACAGGAGACAACCATATACTATGTCCAAGGGCCCACAAAGATTAACCATGTGCTGTGTCCAGTGGCCCACATGGATGAACAACATGCTGTGTCCAAGGGTGTACCCGTGCATTTGCTGGAGTTAACATCGCTGGGCTGACCTGGAGTCGCCTGGGAACTGCCAGGATACTGTCTGTGCCCCGGCCAACACAACTTCACCTCTGACGGGCTGAGATGCTTGTGAGACGGGGAACATAGAGAAACGCCACGATGCTTAGTGGGGAGCAGTCTAGTTAACTCTTTTGGGAACAGCCTTAGATAAATGACACAGTCTATGAAAGTGCCCACTAAGTGTTCTTTCCTGATATTATATTGCAAATTGTAACCTAGTCTCATTTGAAGGCTACAGGTTGATCTCGTAGTTCTGAACAGATCAGGGATTACGAATAGTAAAAAGGTAAATTTTGAATGACCAAATGCACAGTGAGAGGCACTGCATTTCCTGGTGGGTCCTCCAACCCTAGTTGCTAATCCATGAGCTGCTGGCTCTTCTCCTGCCCTAAGCTTGGTACTTGGCAGACACTCCCTAACAGAAGCCAGAGGCGAGATCCAGAGGGCATCTGTTCTGTGAAGTCGAGATGCTCTTGTTTTCTTAGGAAGAAAGGTGATGTTTTCCATTTGCAGGTGGAAGGACCTCTAGGTGGTTTTGGCTCAGTGATCTGGGAACCAGTGTCTTCTGCACTGAGGGAGAGATGGATGGAGAGCAGATGGTCCCCTAATGCACCTGAGAGTATCACTTGTTTGCTTTGTGCCTCCTGCAGTGACATCTAATCCTGCCACCTGTGAAAACCTGTGGTCAGGTGACTCTGAGGCCCAGATGAGGAAGTCCAGGCCCGGGGGGGGGGGGTTATGTCATATTTCAGGTCCCACAGCCAGGTTATGCCTGATCAGTCAGCGCTTCTGCACAATCCATGGCCCCTTGATAGTGAGCTTAACTCTCGTCTCCTGCCCTCTGACCCCTGCGCTTGTCCTGGCTTTGACCTGAACTCTGATGGTCACCTGTACCACCTCTGCCCCAGTCTGCTTACGAAGTCGGTGTCTTCCCTGCTGCATTCTGGGTGTTGTTTCCTAGAATAGTGAGATCCTAATGCATGACAAGTAATAGAAAAGTCATTTTGTCACGTGGGAATGTCTCCACAGTGCAGAGATGTGGTGTCCCCTTTTCCCACGCTGAGGAATTTGTGGTGTAACCGTGATTCCTTGGTCATGAAATCACTTTCTTGGGTCTCATTCTTTCTCCCGTGTGGGGCTATTAGACAAATAAAGGTCCATATGTTGTTCTCACCTTCTTCCTTCTCTCTGTCTGGTTTTCTCTCCACTTTCTTTCCCACATTCATCAGTTTCTGTCACGATTATAGGAGAGGAGGTGGACAGGTGGCCGGCAGGTAAATCTTCCACTCACTCTCGTGTCCTCACTGGGAGATGGAAATGTGTCCCCTATGCCTTCCTGGTCTGAGGTGTGTGGGGAGGCCAGTGGTCCAATGTTCCTAGTCCCTCCCACAAACTGAATCACCCTCTTAAACTATTTCAACCTGGAATAACCTGAGACAAAAGAGAGGCCACTTTCAGGCAAGGGGCTGAAAGTACGCACCTCTCATGTCCTTAGCCTTTCTCCGCATGAGGGGGAGACTCCCTGGTGACAAGAACTGGGGGATGTCCCTGGATGGTCAGTGAGGGGACCGATGGCTGCTGTCTCCTGTGAGTGTTTTTATTGCCCACATCACCACCAACAGGCAGGCGGGTGGGAGGCGGTTGATGGTGACGAGGAGTTAGGAGCAGTTCCTGCCTGTGTCTCAGACATTCAGGGCATGGCTTTGGGGTCACTGGGACCTGGCTTCTAGCTCTCACTTTGCGCGTAGCCATGGGACACCAGGCACTTGTCTTCACCATTCTGAGTCTCAGTTCTTTCATTGACAGCTGGTGATCACTGTGGGGTCTGCTCCCTGGGGGAGCAGGGGGCAAATGGGGAGTGACCTCAGCGGGTCACACAGTCCTCAGAGCTGTCCTCGCGGCCCTGTTTCTGCGGTCGCCATTAGACGGCGAGGCCCTGCGGCTTCCTGAGCTTCACTCGGTGGAGGAGGCCACCCTTGAAGGAAGGAACCAGCTGATTGCTTTGCATTTTATAGTTTAAAAAATATCAGTAGATCACCATGTCTGACTGAATCCTAGAGATGGAGTGTCAGCTTAACACAGCAGCTCTGTAGTTGCTGGCTTTCAGCATGTCTGAACCAGTGGGGCGGAATCACAGGGCTAGTGGCCCAGGGCTTGACCCCTGGGTTTGCAGCCCTGGAGGAGGTGATGTGAGTGTCTCCAATGCAGTGTGCAGAGGGAGGCAGGAGGGGACGGAGGGCAGGCAGGGAGGCCCGGCCCTGCTGAGGTCCTATGGGGCGGACCTCCCATCCCTGCTCCATAGACACTCCCTCACTCACACACAGGGACCCTGCCTCTGGGTGTTGCTGCGTCAGGTGCACAGGAAGTGTGCCAGCAAGTGGGCTCATTGCTGTGCAGACTGAAACCCACACGGTCTCTGGAACCTACTCGTGTCCTTAACTTGCCAAAGTTTGCGAAGGAGAACTAAACATCTGCATCTCTATGGAGACCACTGCTCGGGGCAGGCTCCACGGCTCATCTGAGCTGCCTCGCAGCTCAGTGCTGAAGGTTTTGAAGGGACCATGTTGAATCTCTAGACCGTTCTATTCCTTTGACCTAAGCACCGGTCCGATCCTCCATGCACTTCACACACATGGCTAAGTTATTTCTGCGCCAGGTCATGCCGGGTCCTGGAGAAGTTTGAACAAAACCAGTCTGTGACCTGAAGGTCAGTGCTTAGCACAGATTTAGTATCTATTGGATCCCATGGGAAGAGTCATGAAATTATCTTAGGATGTGTTTGCAATGCTTGGTTCTTTCCTGTTGGGACTGAGATGTCTTCCTCCCGCCCCCTGCCCTTGCCCCCAGACAGCACAGACAGTCCTGGTGGTGGTCGTGGTCTTCGGGATCTCCTGGCTGCCGCACCACGTCATCCACCTGTGGGTTGAGTTTGGGGTCTTCCCGCTGACGCCCACCTCCTTCTTCTTCCGCGTCTTGGCGCACTGCCTGGCCTACAGCAACTCCTCCGTGAACCCCATCATCTACGCCTTCCTCTCCGAGAACTTTAGGAAGGCCTACAAGCAGGTGTTCAAATGTCGGGTGCGCAGCGAGTCCTCCCTCAGCGACACCAAAGAAAACAGAAGTCGATTTGACACCCCACCATCCACCAACTGCACGCACGTGTGAAGAAAGGTGTGTGTGGGCCTCACGTCGTGTTTTCCCCATGTGGACCAGGCACGTAGAAACACAAGGGGGTGGGGGAGGTTTAGGAAGGCTGTACCTGTTACCTTAACAACAATTCACATTGTTTTGGTTAAATTCCTTAAAAAGTACTTTGATTCATTTAGGAAATCCCTACGTCTAGAGGAAATTATTTCCAAATTTTATTTTATTTAAAAATTCTATTTCTAAAAAGGAAAAGAAAATGCTGCCTTGTTTTAAATCTCTTAAGATATGAAAGTTTATTAGAATTCCATAGATATGTTCAATTCTTTATAGAATAAGGAATAAACCTTTAAGTATGGCCAGGAATATTTATGATCTATATTTTGAAGCAGAATTATTTAGAAAAAAAATTATGCTTTAGTTCTTCAGTTTTAAGAAAAGGGGTAACATTATAAGTTATGATCATGGACAGTGAGAATGTTCACTGACTTTATTTTTGTGGCCATTTATATAGAGGGGCTCAGACTTTGTCCAGTGCATTTGCACAGGTCACCTTTGCTGCCGGTTGTGAGCAGCGTACAGAATTCAGACAGTGTGCTGCCTCCAGCTGTGACCACGAGGTCCTTTGAGTCGGTCTCAGGAGCTCAGAGGGGTATTTCAGCAGTGACTCTCGGGTGTGAGCTATTGGCCCCGTCACATGAAACCTATCCTGTGAACCTGGGCTTTGTAAAGTTGACTGAAAAAATAAAATTCAGGGAAAAGTGCCAAGTACAACTATGCTAACAGTGGAGGCTGTGAATGAGTTCTTGACAATGAAAGTGGGCATTAAAATTGTACATATACTTGGCCAAAGCCTTAGCTATGCCTTAAATGGAACCGATTCAAAAGAGTGAATTAAAGAAATGTCAGTGAGCATGATGTGTAGGTAATAATTTCTAGGGGCTGAAGAGCAGTCAGAATTCAATATGTCACAGGAGGGGGTGGGCAGGCTGCATGGGGACAGTGTGCTGAGTGCTCGGCTCAGGTAACGTTGGAAGAAAACACTAGGGATATATGCCTAGGATATCCTTTCTAGTATAAACAAGTGCTTTTTTATTGAATTGTAATGATGTTATTGCACAATTACCCCACATATTACTCCCTCTGGAAATGTTAATTTGGTGTTGAAATCATCACCACTCAAGTTTCAAATGTAGTTTTCATGACAATGTCATATCTATTCATGTTTACAATGAGGCAATGGTATAAAAAGATCAAGTTATCCTATATTAGGAGATACTTTTCTGAATGCAAGACTTTGATATATTTTAGGAGGAGACAAAAGCATGAAGATGAAAAAAAAAGGTTTTGTGTAAGGTACACCTGTGTCAAATCAAGACTCCATGTAAAATACCCCATTTTAGGGCCAAAAACAGACTCAGTGTAAGTCTTTGCATGCTGACTTCTCTAGCTCACAACTGATGTTCACGAGACATTCCTCCAGCTCACAGTGCTTACATTTGTGATGTCTCTGGACAGATGCGGAGAACTTCCTTGGAGAAGATGGGACTGTGAGCCTCATGCTTGCTGGCCGGGCAGAGAAGTGGTGTGTATGCATATGTGAGTATTTTAAAGAACAACATAAGTTCTGTGCGTGGAAATCTTTTTGCACTTTATTCAAGTATAGCGGCAGAAATGTTGTATCCCGGCGATGATACCTCACGTGTTTGTGGAGCTTGACGTTGCAAATACCGGATCCGCTTCCGTGCACACAGAGCTATTGGCGGCCTCGGGACGGCGTGGACGGCAGCAGCTTCCTGTTCCCTGGCTGTCTGTCCCCTCGTTTCCTCTTCTGATTCCCACGCACCCATGGGAGTATTTTAAAAAATGCGTCTGTTTCTAAGACACAGTGAAAATGCTTCAGCACAAGGCACTGACCCACGCCATGCCTTCTTCAGTCCTTCCCATTGGTGTCACGAAAGCGAAAGGCTCAGCTCCGGAGTCATAACCGGCCTGCGAACCCCCAGTTTGCTGAGTGATAATGCGAGTCACTTCGTTTTATAGTTAGGATATCCTTCCTGTCCGCTGCCGTTTTAGGCCATGCATCTCATTCAGCGTTTAGGTTGTTTACTTCTATAGCAAATTTTGATCCTGATGAAAACTTAAGTCCTGCAAAGATCTAAACCTATGCTTTCCAGAGAACTTGTCACGGACTCCTCTTCCCAAGAAGCATCCGAGGCGTGCGTGCCTTTCCTGGGCGGCTGCCTTCCTAAGGCCCAAGGCGGTGACCGTGACCGTTCAGAAGCACCTGTTTTCCTCAGAAAGGACAGAAGGCACCCAACACCCTTTTCCTTCCAGCCGCCAGGCTCAGGGAGAAACTGCGTGTGCCTCTGACGTCCGCTGCTTAAAAACCTGGCTTTTCAGTGAACTTCAGATAAAACTGTTGGTTCCTCCTTAAATTTGGCTGCCTCGGTGCCCAGGCAGCGGTTACTTTTCAGGGTGTTTTGCTTCCACACAGGGAGACAGGCTCTGGGATATTCAAGCACTTGCTGTTTCATGACTAAGCCCCAGTTTCCGTTCCCCCCCGGTGAATACAGGGACAAGGCCGGGAAGGCTCTCTGGTCCTGTGCTCCCAGGAGGCACCTTAAAGAGGTCCTCTCTCTCCTATTCTAACCTTGCATGTGCTCAGCAATGTGGGTGGAGGCCGTTTCCGGCACATTTTAGATAAATATGTTTGCGGTTAACAAAATTGTACTGCACAGGTTAGGAGTAAAGCACCATTTTCCTCGTCTACTTCCCAACTCTTTGTGCTTCGGTGGCAACTTGCTTCTACCTGGACCTCCTCACTCCAATGCTCACCACAGGAAAATTCCTGTTCGGCCTCAGCTGGGATGAGTTAGAGCCGAGAGGAGGGCTGACAGCTGACCTGCATGAGTCACGCGGGCGAAGGCTTCGTGTGACTCAGCTTTACACTGTGATCTCAGGGATGATTCCATTTGCCTGGCATCTTGGATACTTTGAGACAAGGCAGTGATAATTCTGATGGGTTAATTGAACCCCAAGGCCAGGCTTCTTCTGAGCAGGACAAGGCAATTTATCTAAGCATCCGTTTCCTTCCCTCAAGTTCTGAAACGCTGGTGTTGCGGCAGCTTACGCCCAGAAAGTAATGTGTTGTTAGCTTCATCACGGTCTTGCTTGAAGGGATTTATTAAATGCACATACATAAACCACAGTCATGTAAATTGGGTAAATACATCAATGTCTACTTCCTTTGGAAACATCTAAATTTTGTAAATTTTGCTCTGTGCTGGTTGAGAATATCCCCCAGGCTTTACATTTGTGAGTAGCTTATATTTCTCTTGGCCATTAAAAACGTGTTGGGTGTTAGGTTATTTGTCAAGTAGATGTTAGTGACTTTGTTTAATGACTTGTTTGTTTTAACAACAAGTGATTTCTGGGGAATGAGGTGTGGGTGGGGGTGGAAGAGGTCATAGAGGGAATAAATGGTGTTGGAAAAAATAAAATAAAATACAAATAAAAAGCTACGTAGAGTAAGAGTGGGTGGCCTAGCACGCTGATGGTTACTTGGAAAGGAAAAATTTACAGAATGGTGATTTTTTTCTGATTCTAATTGGTACTGTATTTTGATATTTTCTCCTCTAGAAGTGGAAAAATTGAGCCCAAGGAACAAATTGAGATGCTTGACGCCTCCTTGGTGTGAGCTGTGTCTGCACACAGCCAGCTCGTGTAAGGAGAGCAGGTTGTGCGTCTTAGGCATTAGGGTGTTGTTTATGGTGACGGTGCCACAGACCCCAGGTGCTGGGTTCTTCCCTGGCAGGTTCCCCCACCCTCACTGTCTAACTGCAGCTGCCACCTGGGCCCCTGGGCGCCCCTCCTTGGTGGGAGGAGACCTTTGGGGATACAGCAGACCCGGGCGGCTGCTCTTCTGCTATGCTGGTGCCTCTCACTGCTGCGACCTGAACACACACACACCGTTGCTCAGCTGCTTTGGTCCTGAGGGTCTGAGGACTTGGGTTCTGTCCCGAGTGCGGCCCTGGTGACAGGGTCATTGTGGAAGGAGGGTGCTGAGTAAGCTTCTTGCTTTGGTAGACTTTGTGGAAATACTAACTTTAGCGGCCCGTTCTGCGTCTGTTTGAAGGCTGGCTGAGTTTGCCATAGTCAGACAATTGTGTGAAGCGCCAACCCTATAAGCTAAAGGTTTTGGTGTCCCTTTAGGTTGAGTCACCTCAACCTGCTTGCTGGGAACAGGTTTCCAGGCATGCCAAGTTATACTGGATCACTCTCCAATTTCAGTAGGAGAGGGGGCTGTCTGACATCGCTGGGCCAGAGCTTCCTGGTCTGTGATGAGAGGGGGGATCTAGGTGGGGCTCCAAGGCACGGAATAACCGTAAGTCAGAGAACCAGGATCAGAATTATAAACAGGTGTCCTCTCATGGTTTGCTATGATAGATACCAAAAGTTAGATGGTGTCTCCATTCAGAGACAGCAAAGATGCAGGGAAGCAGAGGTGTGTGTGGGCTACGTCGATTTTCAGTAGAAGTCTTCCCATCTTGTTAGAAGAAAAAAATCAGCGTGAAGCTGTTGTTCGGCACATTTTATGAGGGCCGCCCAGCCTTGACATGAAAAAAAAAAATACTGTTTAAAACGGAAACCATGGTACTGTCCTTCTAAAGCAGTGGTTCTCAGCCTTGGCTGTACATTAGAATCACCTGGGAATCTTTTTAAAATCCTGATTTCTGGGCCTCATCCTCCAGAATGAGGTTGAGAACCACTGTTCCAAAGGGAATGTAGCTGGCACGCAGATGTAGCTGAAGAAGTAAATTTCAATGACGTAGCTCATTGGGGTCAGGGACAAACTTTCGACTTTCTCAAGTGACATCTGCCTAGGTGAGGAGGACACTGTGCATGTTGTAAAAAGGGGACGGACATCAGGACATTTCCCAATTCTGTTGGGAAGTTGCTTATGGAAACACTGCCTTGAGTATTCTTACATGTAAAAGAGGGATTCAGAGGGGGTGCATGAGCCTCAACACCGACAGCACCTGTGAATGAACTGGGACATGAGAGGAGGCACAGGCGCTCTGCCCTCACCTGAGAGCACGGTTCTCACACTTGCTAAGCAGGGCATCGCCTGAGGAACCAGTTACAGCACAGATTGCAGGGCCTCACTTTCACAGGTTCTGACTCAGGAAGTTTGATGTGCCCTCCTACCCATCTGCATTTTTAACAAGCGCTTTGCTGATGCAGATGCACAGGGTGAGAATTGCTACTTGATTTAATTGGTTTGGAGTTGGAGCACAGGCATGTTTTAAAAAGATCTCCAGGAGCACAACCTGAGTTCACAACCGCTCATGTAGAGATGGCCCTTTACACCTCCAAACCGCTGTGGTTTGGTGAAAAAAAAAATTGGCTGATGGAGAGCCCAAATCATTCAGATTTTTATGGTTTACATTGATCAGATTCATAAAATATCTGTTCAGCTCTTATAATACCCAGCTACATAAATTTAAGAGTTTTTAAGAGTGTGAAGGAGTTTGATCATTTACATTTAAGGATTTCAGAGATAATCATAATTTTTTTCCTTAAAAATACAGCTTGGTGGACAAGAGCACCTGTAGATTCACTTCATTCCTATCAAATGTAGAGGGGTAAAGAGAGCATTCAAAACTGTTACATGCCGTTTTTGGACTCAATGTGTAAATAAATGCGTGCATGTCTTTCTGAGTGGCTGCTAATTTTTAACTACATTATTATCTCTAAGAGATAAATGTAACTTAATTTGTGGTTATAGGTTTTCCATTAAAGATCTTCTGATAATATAGTAGTATAGATAGGAAGAAAATCTATGTATTTTATGTTTTCATTTTTTTTTCATGTGATTGCTTAAATACTGCTGTACAAATAACACTGAGCATGAATCTTTTTACTCTAGATGCTGTTACAACCATCCTCTCAGATTTACCTCTCTAAAATTTGTCTCATTATCTATAAATTTGGCATGGATGTCATCTATAAACTTAGTGTCAACACAAGTAAACTTGCAAAGCCAAAAGCCAAAAGTTAAGAAGTTATATAAATCCATGTAGTAACAATTACAGTCCTTCTAAATCACCCTGCCTCTGAGTGCTGCATGAAATCTAGCTGGAATTTGTGACTTGGACCAATTTTCTTGAATTGAAAATAAAATTTGTTGCTCAAAGTGTTCTTATTTATGAGTATGCTATTTTCAAACAAGGCGTAATTGCACCATTTTATAAAACACTTCCCAAATTATAGGAACGTAATACAAGGTTGTTGAGTTAAACTAGTTTGACTCTTCTTGGGAGCCATTATAGAAAATATGGGTGAATCATGGTGGTGGGAACTTGACACCTATACTTGAAAAATGTTATTCTCTTCCCCTTCCCCTTCTTCTTCCTCTTCTTTTCCATTTTCTCTGTTGTTGTTTTTAAATACATGCCTATTTTTTTTTTTGGTAAAAATGACAAAATTACTATAAGAAATTATAAAAACAGAAAGTAAACATTCACCCAAAATTTTATTATTAAGAAATAGCCATTAGCAACATCTTCTGAATATCATTTAGGGTATCTCCCCAATGGACATAAATAGTCACAAAGGGTAAGAAGAAGGGATGGAGAGAGGCAGAAGACATTTTAGAAATATTGGGTTATAATGTGCCAATTATTTATAAATAAAATTATTAACTTTAATTTCACTTGAATTTGATTGTCAAAAAATAAAATGGAGTGAAATAGAAAGAATTACTAAATTTTAAAGAGTTGATCATCATAAATTAAAAACAAAAATTATGCAAGTTTCGAGTCATTATGATTAAACCAATAAACACATTTCAGCTTTAGACTGTGTTCTCATGGAAAACTCTTTCAGAAATCTTAATTCTATATTTAAATTTATACATTGCTTACCAATAGGTTGTTTTTACATTCTTTCTTTTATGAGCTCTTTATTTGGACTCATCTGACCAAATAATATTTTATTCCCCCGAAGGTCTCAAAGGCATAATACTCCTGAGTTATTTATTGCATGTTTGAGAAGATTCATTTGCTGCCTTGATTCCTGAAAAACAATGTCAAAGATGAAATCATTTTATTGCACTTTGTTTTCATTATAAGTTTTTAGACCCTGCTCAGAAATTTGAATGTTACTGGGAAGATGTCTGAAGGTACACTGATTGTCCCCATTTTAGTTAACTAGTATTTTTTTTTCTTCCCCAAATGCCCACTTGCTTTTTAAAATCATCGATGTCTGGCTTTTTCATCAGGATGTGTCATTCCATCACCCTATAATGCCTGAGCATTGTTCATGAATTGAACTATGATTTCATAAAAGTAAAAGAGATATTCATGATTATCTAGCCCAGCAATGTCCAACCTTTTGTAGTGTAAGGATTATTTTTAAAAACACAAATAATTACCAGAATTTCATATAAGAGTAATTATAATTTTAATATATATTAATATAGAACATGTAATATAAAAAAGAGAAAATGACCAACCAACATCTCTTATGAACATAGACATGAAAAACCTCAATAAAAATTAACATCCAGCAATGCTTAAAAAGAATTATACACCATTAAGGTTTATTCCAGAAATGTAATTTTTCAGCATGAAAAAATTAATCAATGTAATCCACCATAATAACTGGCTAGTAAGAAAAATCATAGGATTATAATTGACATAGAAGAAGCATTTAGCAAAATCTAGCACCTATTTATGATTAAAAAACCCTCAGAAAATTAGAAATAGGGGGGGAACTTTCTCAGCTTGATAAGTAGCATCTACAAGAAGCCCTACAGTTGACATCACACTTAATAGTGAAAGACTGAATGCCTCCTCCTTAGATCAGAAGAAGACAAGGATATCTGCTCTTATTCAATATAGGTATGTAGCACTGCAATAAAGCAAGAAAAAGAAATAAAAGGCATAAGATCAGAAAGGAAAAGTTGTATTTGTAAGTGATATGATTGTTTACATAGAAAATCCTAAAGAATCTACAAAAAACAAACAAACTCCTGGAACTAAGTGATTTCAGTAAGGTTACAGGATACAAGATCAACACACAAAATACAAAATGAAAAAAGGCAACAGTGAATCAGTGATACATTGAAGTGTTTTAAGTTTTATTAACCACAGCACAGTCTACATGCTTTAAGGCTAGAAATACACAGAGATATATATAATTTATTCAAACTACAGAAATGCTATTTAAAATTTAATTTGATTATTGAAAAACTTCAGCACTTGCTACATCAAATTATAGGACTTGTTCATACCCCTAAAATGAGGATCTTAGCTATGGGGAAAGGGCTTTGGATTGTCAGAGCTGGGTCCCTAGATTTCCCCCCATTTCCCCATGTTTCCTGAAGTTTCTTATAATTTTAAGGAACACAGATGGAGTCTATCTTGAGTTCAATAATGCTTTTTAATATTGCCTCTTCTATAGTGAATCCTTGTGCCCAAATCTCTGATGCCACAGAGGATTGAATAGTATCTTAATTTTCCTTTCCACTACCTGTCATGTTTATTTATTTAGTAAGAGGAAGCTCCATATTGTCCTTTGGCATACCTATAGAAATTTGTATGATTTTCCCCTGTGTATATAAGAGGAAAGCTCTTGATCCATCGGAGTTGTCATCCATTGTTAAGGTAATTTAAAAATACCACAAAAATTACCAAAATTATGATGCATACATGACATTAGTAAGTCATTTATGCTTCCTTTAAGTCAGTGGTTCTCAACCTTCTGACCCTTTAAAACAGTTCCTCATGTTGTGACACCGAACCATAAAATTATTTTCGTTGCTACTTCATAACTGTAATTTTGCTACTGTTATGAATCGTAATGTAAATATCTGATATGCAGCATGGTCTTAGGCAGCCCCTCTGAAAGGGTCGTTCTACCGCCAAAGGGGTCGCAACCCACAGGTTGAGAACCGCTGCTTTAAGTGAAAGGTATTTAAAAATTGAATAGACTTGATAGTTAAGAAAAAATTGTCTTCAATAAAGGCATTTTTAAATGCATCTACACTAATAAAAGAGAAACATGCAATTAATCATCACTCCGCCACTCCACTACACTCATAAGCCACAGCCACCAGCCAATCAGGAGCGAGTACGTAAATTAACCCAACCAAGATGGTGGCAGCCACGGAGCTGGAGCAAGAAGGAGGCTTGGGTTGCTCCTGGCAATGGAGGAAGCCAAGCTTCCTACCTGCCCTGGCCAGCTGTGGGTTCAGCTCAAGGCTACAAAGTTTCAATTATAGAAGATAAATAAATCCCAGATACCTGCTTCCCTCCGCTCAAGAAGGCACTGGAAAAAGAAAAAGAAAAAAAGGAGAGACTGGGAGCTGGGGTCACCAGGGGCTGTGGACAGCCTGCAAACAGCCATCAGCCCCTTACCCAGGCTGGCCACACCCTCATGGTGTGAGGGTCCCTGCAGGGGGGCTTAGCCAACCTGCAAACAGCTACCAGCCCCTCACCCAGCAGGGACCCCCACCCTGAAGGGGGTGTGACCAGCTTGAAAACAGCTCTCATCCCCTTACCCAGGCTGGCCACAGCCCCCCGGCGGGGACCCTCACGGGGGCATGGCTGGCCTACAAACCACCACAGGCCCCTCACCCAGGCTGCCCACGCCCCAAGGGAACCCCTACCCTGATCCGGGA